AATAAGTTGCATGAATCATTAAAAAAAGTTTTAAAAAATTGGGTTATTTTTTGACATTTACAAAGTCCGTTCTTTAGGATCTTTACTAATTTTTGGTTCCAGAGAACCATTATTCCTTCTGTCAATCATATTTGATTTTTCCTGCTAAGGTGTAGACCATGCCCGACACTGACCATGGTTGGGAAATTGGAGAGACCACTCGCAACCAAAAGCTTAAACAGATACAAAACACTAGAAATTTATGTAGTACCAAGACATAAACATCAAAATCCAACACACAGACAAAGCAGCATACCAGGTTTTTATCTTATATGCTCTTTCCAGGTGGATCTTCTTCACTCGTTTCAATACTTCTCCTATATGTTCTGTAGCATCCTCCAAATTTGTGACACGTACCTACAAAAGAGGACCAAAATTATTTACCATCTGAAGTGCATATAGAATATTACATTTGCAGTCCAACACCGAATGTGGGCTCCAGGTCCACAGGGAATAAGAAAACAGAAATGATACTCTAAATGGGTTAAGTAAACAAGTGCAGTACAGAGGGGAAAAAAAAACTCAATTCACTATGCGCAGCTATACAGGCAAAAACAGGAAAAGCATACCACGCCCTTCAGTACAATATCTGTTTCAGAGTCACCGCTTTGATAGACAACTCCAGGGCAATCAATCAAGAAAATCCTCTTTGTGAGTGTTATATATTGCCACACTTTAGTCTCCCCTGGAATAGGAGCAACCTTGCAAACCTGTGGAGCAAGAAACACATAAATATGTCAGCCATATCGGTGTCACCTAAAAGACAAGGCACATTGGTCTATTAGTACATCTAAACCGAATAAAATGCTGATTAACACACATACATAATCTATATTAATGGGAACACAAGCAGAAAACCAGAAGCAGCAAGAGAGTTGAGGATATTACATTTTTTGTTCGCAATGTGTTGATGACAGATGACTTTCCAACATTGGGATACCCAACGAACCCCACAGAAATGGCTTGCTTGTCACTTTTCAAGCGGGCAAATTGTCTCAGCACTGATAGAAGAGTTCCCTAAGTGCAACAAATAAAAGTAAACAAAATCAGCACATTGCACATAAAATCTGAAGTAGTATGAATAAATATAGTAACCTACAGTGAAATAACATTAGGGCTTCTCCTATTAGCCTTTTTATGAGTTCTTATCTCATCTTTTAGACATGTAGCACGATATGCAAACAGCAAACACAGAGAGAGAGAGAGAGAGAGAGAGAGAGAGAGAGAGAGAGAGAGAGAGAGGTAACTTAATGTAAGGCAATTAAGACAATAACCATGATGGGAGACAGAGGGAAGTGGTGTTAGAGGAATCTAACTTAACATACTTTTATTTCATCAATACTGCCATGAAATTCAACACGATCAAGGCATCAACGTGAACAGAAGGTACCTTGCCAAATGATTTGTTGACGCTAGCATGAAATGCAATAGTTGGAAAGTCGTCCTTTAATACATTCAACCAACGGCTGAGCACCCACGAAGGAACCAAATCACACTGAAAAATCAAAGTAATGATATTGTTAAACAAAATCAGAAGAGGTAATGCCTTCTAATTCAAGAAGACCCAAAACATGAGAAATGCAACCAACCTTGTTTAACAAAAGAACCAAGTGTTTATGTGTGCAATGCTCTTTCAAATGCTTCTCTAAGTGGTAACATCTTGTACCTTGTGGGTCCCTTGCATCCAAAACCTGAAACGGGGAGAAAAGCAAGGTTGAGCTGGACAAGAATTAAGCAAATAATAGCACTAGAATAAAAAATAAACTTGTTTTCATAATTATCAGCCCAAGCAGATCTGCACATTTAATGCAGGAATTACCTTGATGTAAACATTGTCCTAACTTAACAAAAAAGAAAACAGAAGCATAAAACAATCCCTGTTTACCATGTTACACTGTTCATCATACAAGTAATGAAGAATAGGAATTCAATTGATATCCAAGAAAGGCAAGATTTGTAAGGAAAAGTACATGTATGCGATTAGTTATACTTTCTAAATCAACGGAAAAATAGAAACACCAACCTGGACAACAACATCTGAAGAGTCAATAACTTTGTAGAGCTCACCCCATATACGTTTACTTTGACCCTTATCAAACATTGTATGCCGGACCAGGTCCCTAAATCCATCCCCTTCACTACCTTCTGCAGTATTGTCATCAGCATGCTTCTGCTGAAACATGTCTAAAGAGATGCAAACAAGTTAGATGCAGAACCATGGGAAATAAGAAAATGACCCAAAAAAAAAATTTCATACACATAAACTTGCAATTTTTTACTCAGAAACCCTCCAGTCTAAATCATACACAAAAACACTGACCAAATAATCAGGAAATAGAACGAATTGGTTATTACAACCAGGAATATCAAGCACATAAAAAATTCTCAGACAAGAAATAGTTACCCTGAGAACCATCAGCTTTCTTAGCTAAGGACTCATAATCTGCTGCGATGAGTTTTGGACGCTTCCTCTTTGTCTTAGGTCCAAATGCATCGGAAAATGACTCTCTCTCTAGGAGATGGACTCTGGTTTGCTTCACAGATTTTAAGAACATGAACTTAGCAAACTATAATACAATGATTAACTATGCCATCAGCCGGAAAAAGAAAAAAACATTTCAACCATATGCTATCTTCTTCATCTGTTTTCATTAAGAATGAGGCATGCCAATTTAGGAAATCTATAGAAAAATTTATTGTTCATTATAAGGTATTCACTAATTTTGAAGGGTTAAGTTGCCATTAAAAAATTTACAAGCTGAGGTTAGCCAATTTTTGGGTATGAAGATAATTGCCGGCTAAATAGAAAATGAAAACCAGTGGCTTCAACATTGCATCTAATCCCTAAAGAACTCTTTCTGTCTCTCTTTTTTTTATTCTTTTTAAGTTAAGTCAGCCATGCATCGAAGCTTGATGAATATCGCTCCAAAACTTATGTGAGCCAAGGAAATGGAACATAACTAGTACTTCAGCTCAGAATGTTATATGTGCACAATTGTGATTTTCTGATTCCTTGTTAAAGTTTATTTATAAAAATAAAAAAATAAAAAATAAAAAATAAGACTTTACAAAAGCGTCATACCTTCTGATGGTCATTCAAGAGGGATAAGGGCAGTTGCTTCCCCTTCAAAATAACATTGTAGTTACTAGCCACCGTTTTACTGTGCTCCTCGCGGAAAATGTCAAGCTGCTGCTGAGATGCAACCCGAGTATTCCCTAAAAATGAAATAAGCAATTAAAAAAATTCAACAAAAATAGAAAAGGCCATAAAAGCAGGACCGCCACAATTCAATGAATTACTGAAATTTTTTAACAGGCATTTTCAAATATAATTACCAAGCATTTGCAACAAGCTCTGTTACTCTAAAACCTCACACAAAAGCACTAAGTAAGATCTTAACTAGACTAGAAAAGTGTATCCATACGTATACGTATACGTACCGAACCAGCGGCGATCAGGTTGAATACGAGTGTTAGGCAGCTCCTTGGACTGGAAATCGTTCCTCAAGACCTTTCCCTTGCTGTCACGCTTGGGCCTCGTCTTGTACATCTTGAGCCGGCGAACCGTGGCCCCAGTACGCGCGTCCTTGCTCTTGCTCTTTCCATCGGTACGGTTCGCGTCCAGCGAGTGCTTCGGCTTCCCGGAGATGTTTACTTTCCTCTCTGTCTTCTTCACCATCTTTGCGGCCTGTTTGGTTGCCAAGTAAGTGACGGAAACTGCCGCGTTTTGTTGTGTAAAACCCCTTGGGAAATAGGGTTTCGAAAGAGAGAGCGGGGACGGAGGGACTAGAAATTATAAGTATTTTTTGTGTGACTGGATTGGGTTGGTAAGTTGGGGGGGTTGACAGAAAAGTTTTAAGCCCAAATGTCGGCCGGTTTTTATTTGGAGCGGTCCAACAATATTGGGCCACAACACACGATGAGGACACCAGTTCAGTTGATCATCTTTAAAACACTTGTCGTATTGTTTTGTAAAAGTTCAGTATTCCTGGAAGATTCTCCAATAATTATAGGCGTTTGGATGAGAAAATTTAAAAGTACAAAAGATTTCATAAATGACGGAATTTAAAATGACGGAAACTAATATTCTAGAATTTGTAAAGTTTCTTGTTTGGGTGACTAATTTAAAACATGGAATTTAACCTTTATTTATAAAGTTTTTCTTTTTTTTTAAACTCAATCTCTCTAGGATTTTAGAAATGACGATTTTTAAAATAAAATTTAAACTTAAAATTTATGATCTCCAAATTTCATATTTTTTTCACACAGAATTTCTAAATTTCTATATTTTTTTATCCAAACACCAGAATTAATTCATACCAATTTAAAAATTATGAGTTTTGTCAAAATCCCAAATTTATTCCCCCGTCCAAACGCTCCATAAATGCAATCCAACGTCCTTGAAATACATGAACTATTACGACCCGAATAAAGCTTCTGTCTTTGAAATAGGTGAAATTAAAGAAACAAACAACAAAAAAGTAGTACCTGAGATACTAGTGCAGATCCAAAAGCAAACGCAGCGCGGGGAGTACTTCAGTCGATGGATCGGGTTATCAAAGCCGCGAGGAGCTCTGGTTCTCTCAATCTTTCAAATCGTAATCTCAGGTAACAATAGACTGATCACCAGTTAAAGAAAGAAATTTTGTCATCTTCATCACCATTATCTTTGATTTTGATAACTCTCTTTTGCAATTAAATTTCCATCACATTGAAAAGCATTGCATTCATATGGGAACTGGTTTTTTTTTTTTTTTCCTCTAATTGTCAGCCAAGTGCCCGATGAGGTATATAGAAGTACGAGTGCAGTTGGGGACGATGAGAAATGGTGGGAGGTAAATTTGTTTCCCTTATTCATCTAGATCAAGAAAAATATGAAATGGGTGCTTCTAATTCTCCAAGTGTGATGTTTTCCAATCGGACTCATGAACCCATTGCTTGTTTTCAGGCTGTGGAGCTACAAAAGCTCATTATAGCTCATAACAACATTGAATCACTGAAAGAAGAGCTGAGAAATTTGCCTCTTCTGACTGTGTTAAATGTCAGCCACAACAAACTTTCCGAGCTTCCAGCTGCAATTGGAGAGTGTGTTCTATGTCGATGTGTATTTGTAATTTGTGTTCGTAGTGATCTCTGTCTTATGTTTTTCTTTAATTGAAATGTCGAACACATTTGGCAGGCTTACCATGCTCAAATCATTAGACTTATCGTTCAACTCAATTCTAAAGTTGCCTGAGGAAATTGGATCAGTAACTTCTCTTGTCAAGTATAGTTTCTTCTTCTACCAATTCCCATTTTTCTTTATATATAAAAAATGTAGTTAAAAGACCAGAAGGCTTTATTGGTTTCTTATTACTGTGTTTCGTGCATGTCTGTGGGTCGGTGCGTACATGACCCTTGTGTTTTTTTTGCTTTTCTTGTATTTGGGTTTGAAATGAACAAGAAAGAAAGAAGAATTCGATTTAGGTTAATCAAGTTGTTGTGTGATCCTTCCAGACTTGATTGCTCGAACAATCAGCTTAAAGAACTACCAAGCTCACTTGGAAGATGCTCAGATCTATCAGAATTCAAGGTAATGCTTCACCTAGGTTGATTGTAGATGTGGTGACAAGGCCATGATGCTGGTAAAATTTGACACAGCAATATCACATAACCTTGTAGTGTGGTTGTTTAAGTGCTTGTTCTTTGCCCAAATCTTTGTGCATGTAGATTGAACTTATCTTTTTTTTTTTCATCTTAATATTCTGTAAACCCAATGCGTGTGTTAGGAAAGGATTCTTTCCTTTATTTTTTTAACATAATATATGGTTCTGATGAAAAAGTAAGTTATGATACTCTTTTTACAGGCGTCAAATAATGTTATCATCAGCTTGCCAGAAGATCTAGCTAACTGTTCAAAATTGATGAAACTAGATGTGGAGGTATGAGCAAGATTGTATTTTTAGCACCTGTGATGATGAGTTACCGCTTTTTCTTTTTTCTTTGATTATGATGTAATCATTTGTATTTGATAAATTTTGGGGTCTAAAATGCGAATTGGATCATCTGCCTGTGCCAGGGTAACAAGCTAACAATCCTATCTGAGAATTTGATTGGATCATGGACCATGCTTACAGAACTCAATGCATGTAAATGTCTTGCTGAATGTTTATCTCTACTTGCACATCTTTAGATATGTTGAAACATAGTTTGTGATTGGAACCTATGCAGCAAAAAATATGCTGAGTGGAATACCAGAGAATATTGGAAGCCTATCTCGTCTTATCCGTCTTGACCTTCACCAGAACAGTGAGTCAATTTTTAATTAAGAAACCTTAAATATTCTTTCTTTGGTATGATATGAGCCAATCAGTTCAGCTTTCCTATAAGATGTTTGTGTTTACGAGTTTTGCAGAAATTTCGTCAGTTCCACTTTCAATAAAGGGTTGTTCTTCCCTTGCGGAGATCTATATGGGGTACCACTGTTACATGATGCTTTTTAAGTTTTTAGGAGTGTATGGAATTTAAAGAGAACTTTTGCATCTTTGAGATTTATCTGGCCCTTTTAACATCAAATTTTAGGAATAATGCGCTGTCTACATTACCAGCGGAGATGGGGGCGCTTTCTCATCTAGGAACTTTAGATCTTCACTCGAACCAGGTAGCTAGAATTTCATTTTCGTTTTTCGTTATAAATACTGTAAAACTTACTTAGGAGGAACAAAAGTTC